AATTGTCCAAAGGAGAAGAGGAATAACTTAAGACAAAAGTTTGCACAGCTTTTCGTAGGCTGTCAAATCCCCTTTTGGAATGTACATGTATATAAACTTCTTATATTGATTATATTACAAATATCATACAAAGCAATGAATGCAACATCTCCCTAGATGTTCAACTTCTGATCAAGGACATACAGATAATGGGAGAAACAAGTTTTTTACTACCCTGATACTGCTAGGATATTCCAAGACAAAATTCTTTTTTTGAAGTGGTTAATTCATTGTTTATGCATATATAATGTTCTGTGAACATTAAATTCCAAATTCATAGAGGTCTGAAAAAAAATGACTGAATATCTGCCTTTAATTGACCCTTATCAGGCCTTTTTGTTGTTGTTTGTTTGATTTAATTGAATGCATTTAGGTATTGCGGTAAGGTTAGCTTACATCTTTCTTTGTATTGCAGAGGTACAGGATCTCTCCCTTCAGGTGTGGTTACTACACCACCCCGACCCGCACAGCACCCACAGTTCATCTCCATAGTCCATTTTGCTCCCTGCCCCACTTTATTGTCCCCCTTCCTATCCCATCCCTCTCTAGTAGCCTCAGTTCCTTAGTTATATTTCTAGGGTTTGTTGTTAGTTTGGCTTTATTTAACCCTAAATCAGGCCTTCTTTAAAAAGCCTAATGGGGATAGAGATAATAAAGAAAATGTTCATATAATTTAGACAAACGTAGAGTTTATTTATTTATTTATTTTAACCTAGTTAATAATGTCTCTGACCCTCACTGTCTTTGCTCTTCTCCATAGATGACTTTGTGGGCAGAGGTAACTGGCCATGCAAAGGCAGGATGGCATGGCAGGACGTCCTCATAGTAAGGAGCCATATAGCTGGGGCCTTAGAGAATAAAATCCTAAATTAGAGAGAAAAGAAGCAACAATCTGCATACAAATGACCTCAAGCCCGGCTTCACACCACAAAAAATTAAAATTTAAATAGGCAAGTGCTATAATAAAGCTGAATGCAAATTCAAGAGAACCCTGAGGACAGAGTGCTTAAATCTTCAAGGGTGGTAGGGGAGGAGGGGGGTGGTGAAATGGTCTTGGGGGAGGGAAAGAATGGAATCAATGGGCAGTCCAGATAGAGGACGTGGCCAGGCCAGATGTGCATGTGAGAAAGGTCTATGCATTTGGAGGCGGTAGAGTTGCTTCTGTGGTTGGAGCACAGGGGGAAAATGACATTGGAAAGGGACATTTGGGCCCATATGTAAGGACCCTTTCATGCACACTAAGTGTGCAATAGCCTCCAGGTAGCCTCTGTCTCACTACCTTTCCCCTCTCCCTGTCCTGCTTCACCTGGCATCGCTGAGCTCACTCCAGACTATTCCATAGGAACAGCCCCCAAACTCTTTTCCTCCTTTCCTGCCTCAATAACTCTCGTGAAATATATATTTTTCCCATCTGGCTCTTGCCGGTAAACTTCTGCCTGACCCAGAGCCCAGCTCAAATGCCACCACTTCCAGGAAGCCTTTCGGAAACTCCCAGTAAGCACTGTTTTCCCCCTTACTTGAGCTCACATGTGATCTTTAAATATTTTATAGTTACTATTTTGAAAAGCCAATACATACCTACAGTTAAATTCAAAGCATACAAAATTGGCAACTAAGCGTTCCTCCTACGCCTACCCTAACAAGGCCCTGAGTTATTTTCTTAGAAACAACTATTAGACTAAGCTTCTCAAAAATCTTCCCAAAGCTACTACATTATGACATGTATTCACATACACATACAAACAAATGCATATGTGTCATTATCATACACACACATTATTTTTTGTATATACACTTGCAGATTATTATACTATACTCCTTGGCGCCTCTCTCACTTAAGTTCATGAAACTTTCTCCGAATCAGTAGATTTTGAGTTGCCAGATTCCTTCTAAATTCCTTCAATAGAAGACTAAGAAATTCCTCCTCAGTTCCAGATAGAACTAAAAACATACTCCCCTCAGCAGTGTACTTCGGTCCTTCTGCCTGTTCTGCTCCCCGCTCTGGCTCTGGTGAATTCTCTCACCCTCCCGTGCTTCTGACTGTACCCAGTGCTTGTATAAATAAATAAATAAATCTTAAAATAAATAAATAAATGTAATATTCAATATAAGTGGAGAGTCCATGTGGTGATTCGACTTTTTCACTATATTATGTGTAGAGACAGGAGGTAAAACCCTGGACGTGGAGCGAGGCTCGGGTCCCTGCTGTCCCACTCACCACACGCCCTTGCTCACACTACTGAAGGCCATTTAACCTCTTCAGCCTTCAAGTTTCTCATCTGTAAAATTTAGGCATTGAGCTTGATGGGCTGTGATATTTCATTTTTTTTTTAAAGCATCGATATCACAAGTTGCCTTGGGAATAGAGGTTAATGAAGGAAAGGAGTTGGGGGCAGACATCTCTAAGTTCCTGCCGAGATCTTTCTCTACCCCCAGGCTTTTGCTCTTGCTTTACCTGCTTGCCTTTCCTCCTCCTTGACCAGAGACAAACGTGTTTTTAAAAAGCCCTCAGCAGGAATCTGAGCACAAAAGGGCCTCAGCGGGGCCTCAGCAGACATCTGATTTCTAATTTCAAGACTGTTCTTTAGCAGTCTTCTTAGATTTACAAAAGATACAAGCAGAATTAGTTCCTTTTTCCTGGAAGCAACCCCCAATCCAAGTTAGAGTTCACTGGCCTAATGTGAAAAGAAAACTTGCAAATACAGAGTACCTTAGAGAGTTTTAAAATAGTTACACCCATTCCATTCCACCCATTCCAAATAAAAAACACCCATTCCATTTACAGACCTCAGCACAAACTACAAAGTGATCAGTTGGAGCAAAGGTCAATGACCCTTTGAGCCCCACCAAGTCCTTCAGTTCTCCAAAGCATCCTCAAGGCTTTGCTAAACAAAAAAGCAGCCGTTGGCGCCCACTCACTTGCCTCCCAAATGTCCACATCCAGGACAGAAGTTCTCAGGCCTTGCCCCTACCACCTTAAAACAAACAGAGTTGCTGCCCAGAGATTCCCCAGGGGACCAGCTGGTAAGAAGGAGAGGGGCTGATGGTAGGAAGGAGAGGAGCTGTACAGCCACGTGCTCGCAGGTGACTTGCAGCTCTTGCTAGTTTATCCACAGCTCCTACCTGGAATTTGATGTCACTGGTTAGGCCACTTCTAATGTCTCCGCTCAGCCACTAACATGTTTGAACCCAGGGGATACTATTATCCCAGCTCTGTGTCTAACAGCAGGGACTTTCAGAAAACACGCACCCTGTGGAATTGACTGGCCATTTCTGTTTTCATTTTTGCCCACATTTATCGCTACTTCTTAAAATACAAGCCAAATTACTACACAGGACAACTTTTCAAAGAAAAAAAAAAACACCCTTTAGATCACTGGATTTCTTATTACTTTAGAAAAATTTCATCACACAGTGAAAAGTAAAAGACAATATTGTTACCTGAAAAAAAGCTAGGTCAAACAGTATGTGCAACAAGATCCTGATTTTCAATAAAAAGAGGAATAAGAACTTACATCAAGATGCTAACAATGGGGCCTCCCCGGTGGCGCAGCGGTTGAGCGCTGGGTTGCGAAGCTGCCCGCTGCCTCTGCAGCGCCGGTTCGATCCCCGGCCGCTCCCCGGCCACCGGAGGAGGGTCCCACATGGCGCGCAGACCTCTCCTGCCGCCTGCTGCTCCCCTCAGCAGTGTACTTCGGTCCTTCTGCCTGCTCTGCTCCCCGCTCTGGCTCTGGTGAATTCTCTCACCCTCCCGTGCTTCTGACTGTACCCAGTGCTTGTATAAATAAATAAAATAAATCTTAAAAAAAAAAAAAAAGATGCTAACAATGTTCTTATTAGTGCAATTATAGATTTTTTCTCTTTTTTACATGGTTTATATTTAGCAAATTTCCTTTATACCACATGCTACTTCTTAACCCAAAAAGAAACTCATAAAAATAGCTCTTTGACCTTCCTAAAAGAAAATATAAATGCATCCTGCAGTTCCTTCCTGAAATGCACCAGTAGAAGCAGTATTTGCTCCAAGACTGGAAAGGTTCTTTCAAGAAGGCAGCACACAGGAGACCTGCTTCCAGGGTCAGGGTCAATCCCTGAAATGACTCTCAACGAGTCCAGAATCCCTTCCCCAATAGTCACCTTGGTTGTAGGGTAAGTAGGTCTCATGGGCCTAGAAATCCCTTTCTTACTCAATTCTGAGGTCCTCAGAGCAGAGCTCCTTCAAACACCACTCAAGTAAAAAAATTAATTTTTAAAAATGGTATATTCCAATCATTTGTTTTGTGTCTATATCATCCTGCTCAACAAGATAAAAAAAAAATTTGAGGAAACCAGTGTACTAGGAAAAGAAGTAAGTTTCTTGTGTATTAGTGAAATGTGCTACTGCTAGGTTTATGGGAACTTCTACCTTTTGTCATTAAAAACCAGAATGGGTAGGACATGCTTTCACCCAAGGTTGATTTCCTCCCCATGGTCTTCTGAATCAGATCCAAATACAGGAAGACAATTTGCCAAGATTCTCTCTCCACTGACAATGTGTAGATGGGCAGGGCCAAAATATGATTCCCAGACTTGCTTATGTACAATGTTTCCAACCAAACTTCTTGTTTCTGATTAATAGCTCTTCACATAAATCCAGCTGCTCAGAAGTGACTTATTTTTAGTTATCTTCATGTACTAGGTGACTCTAGTCTTGCTTCTGTGGCGCAAGCCCACCTGAAATTACTGGCAAGAGATAACAGACTCCAAAAAGAACCACCCAGACATGAGCATGAGTCAACATTCTTAAACCCATAATCCCAAAGTGAATTGAAATACACCAGGAGCTAATCCTCTCACCTCCTTCCATCCTCCTCTAGCTACTCATCACTTGTACATTACACTCTCATAACACTCACATAGGCCATGCCCACATCCATCAGAACGCTCACTTCCTTCTGCTTTATCATCTCCAAAGTGCTTACCTAGTAAGATTCAATTTGAAAAATCTCTTCAGTGTTCAGTTTCCCATGAAGCTTTACTAACTTGACTAATCTGGCCCAAGGGATGCGTGTGTGTGTGTGTGTGTGTGTTCAGGAACTAGAAGAGTGAGACCCACACTTGGGATTTTTCTAAATTGAGATCTCAGGAAATTTCACTATCGAGAGTCAACTATCTGTGGGTAAAGTATGTCCCCTCCTTTTTGATTCACTGGGTGTCTAATGAAGTAGAGGGCTTCCTTTCTCTATCACATAGAAAGCCAATTACCTCATCCTCTCCCTGTCACAATATTCTCCTGGCTGAATTCCAGTGTCTTCTCAACTATGAGTCATCACTGCTGCTTGTGGATAGAACTGTGTTCTGGAACCTTCATTTTTAAGAAGTTCAAAAACATCTGATAAGATCCCCATGGCACACTTCTGGATCTGGGATCATCAAGAGGCCCAGTTTAGAAGGACTCTCGCCCACAGGAGATGGCAAAGGAAACAGGTCCCCAGTCTATCAGCAGCAGCTGCCCTCCGTACTGATAAGGATCCTTCTTGTTTGCAGTCAGCTGGCATAGCTGGTGCCAGCATGTTTCCTTCAAGGGACAGCCTCACCAGAAGGCACCCACTTACATGGGGCAACATCAAGGGCATGGGAAGTCCCCTCCCTCGCAGGCATTTCTCCCACTATTGGAGCAACATTTCCTCTTGAGGCAGTCCTCCAGTACGTATCACGTTCTTTGTGCTGAGCACTCTACTGTACATTGTAAAAGAGACAAAGTAGGCTGAGGAATTTTACCCATCTCTAAGTCAAGTGTCCAACATGGAGGTTTGGTATTTTGTTGAAAAGTGAATATGGTTGAATACTAAAGACCTTTCTACCATTTCCAAGTTGTGTGAATGTGTTTCTATCTCATTGTCTCCCCTACATCAGCTTTGTTTAGAGAAGGAGGAAGGTGCACAAGTACACAGGGGGTAAGACATCAGAAGATATATTTTATTGGGCATTCATCCCATTCTCTGGGCCATTCTTACCTAGGTCTCAGTTCCACTCAATAATATCACTCATGTGTTCATTCCTCCAATATGTATCACACCTTTTATGCTGAGTGTTTGACTGTAGGTTGCTAAGGGACAAAGTAAGTTGAGGAATTTTATCCATCCCTAAGTTAAGTGTCCCTATATGGATGAGGAGCATCTGGGTTCATGACACTGATCATGATGAAGATGTTAAGGAGACATTTAGCATTTATTCACTGCACTTGTTACTCACCCCGAAGTGCCATTAACCATGGGAAATCTCTTTATTCACAATTTATAGATAAAGCAATCAAGGTCCAGGAGGGTTAAGTGTCAGTGATCCCCAAAGTTGATCATTATCAAAACTGCCCTGGGAGACTGTTTAAAATGTTTTCCTGGACCCCTTAAAGAGATATTGTCATTCAGTAGGTCTGGAAAGAACCAGAGAAACTATTTTTAAAGCACTGGGATGAGTCAGAAGTACAGTCATGTTGGAGGAAGACTGTTATTCAGTGAAGCACAGCCTTCTCGGACAGCTTTTCATTTTGACCTGCACAATCTGAGAAGTAAGGATTATTATATTATTATCCCCAATTCACATGTGAAGCAGCTGCAGCACAAAAAAAGAAAAAGGCCAAAAAGCAAAACAAAATTTCTGTTTTCTTTGTTTCTGTATCTGCTATAAACAAAGCAAAGCAACTATAAGAATTCATAATCTCATTAACAATCATTTATGACATCGACATTTGCAAGACCTCTCCAGGCCTTCATACCAGCTACATAGAAGCAATCAGACAGCTTGCCCTGAACTCAATAAAACTACTCCCTAGATATCACCCAATAGTTTTCTTGCATCACTTCATTTTTGCCATTAAAATCAATCAACATTAAAGATACTTGAGAAATGTGACAATCATATAATGCATTAACTCAATTATGAAAATGTATTTTTGAGACAATCAGAAATATGATTTGAATTGGGTAGTCAAAAGATTCAAAGGATTACTATAATTTTTTTAGGAGGATAATGAAAAGCATGGTAGAAATAAGAAAATATTCTTGATTTATTGATGCATAGCATATATTGTTAAAGTGACATGACATCTGGGATTTATTTTATTTTATTTTATTTTAATAGAGGCATGTTTTATTTATTTATGTATTTGTTTGTTTGTTTTGTTTATACAAGCACTGGGTACAGTCAGAAGCGCGGGAGGGTGAGAGAATTCACCAGAGCCAGAGCGGGGAGCAGAGCAGGCAGAAGGACTGAAGTACACTGCTGAGAAGAGCAGCGGGCGGCAGGAGAGGTCTGCGCGCCATGTGGGACCCTCCTCCGGTGGCCGGGGAGCAGCCGGGGATCGAACCTGCACCGCGGCAGCCTCGCAACCCAGCGCTCAACCGCTGCACCACCAGGGAGGCCCTGGGATTTATTTTAAACTGCTTCATCAAAGGGGAAAAACAGGCAAAACAAATATGGCAATATTTGACAATTACTGATGGGCATTTGTGAACTTTTAAATGTGTTTGAAATTTTTTTTAAAGATTGATTTATTTATACATACAAGACCTGGGGTAGTACAGGCTAGAGGTGTGGGGGGGGGTGAGAGGATTCACAGAGACAGAGTGGGGAACAGAACAGGCAGACTGACTGAAGTACACTGCTGAGGGGAGCAGCAGGCAAGTCAGGAGAGATCTGCTGCACCACGTGGGCTGCTCCCTAGCCGGCGGGGGATTGAACTCATGCCACAGTGGCTGCCAATAGCCTCATAGGTGTGTCTTAACCACTTGCGCCTCCAGGGAGGCCCATGTTTGAAATTTTTTAAGCAAAATAACTTTTAAAAAAATCAATATACTCACTTCTCCAAAGTGCCATTTTCCCCTTGACAAGGCAAACTCTCAATGCCTACTAAAATAGATTGCCAATAAGCTTAATTACATATCAGTTCTCTCCTGCACATCTGTTTTTTCTAATTTTTTCTCCAAACAGGTGGGTTCTATTTTTCTTTAATGGCTATGAAATATATTTATACCAAAGAATTATTTAGCTGAAATTCAAAATTTAACTGGTGTCCTATATTTTTATTTGCTGTATCTAGCAACTTAGACAAGGAAATAAAAAGCCCGAATTAGAAGTCAGAATATCTGGGTTCAAGTTCTTCTTGCCACTGACTTTGTAACTACTCACCTTCTCGGGGCTTTTCACCCATCATCTGTTCAAGACTTTATTACAGCTCAAAATGCTATGAAAAATGTATATTACTCTTACCGTAACTCCTTGCATTCAAAGAACTTTTAAGCAAATAGGGCCTCCCTGGTGGTTCAAGGGGTTAAGCACAGCACTGTGAAGCCTCTGCGGCACAAGTTCTAGTTCAATCCCCAGCCAACCAGGGAGCAACCCACATGGCACTCTCCTGTCTCACCTGCTGCTCCCCTCAGCAGTGTACTTCAGTTAGTCTGCCTGTTCTGTTCCCCACTCTGTCTCTGGTGAATCCTCTCACCCCCTGCACCTCTGGCCTGTACCCCAGTTCTTGTATGCATAAATAAATAAATCTTAAAAAAAAAAGAACTTTTAAGCAAATTCACCTAAGTGACCACCTCTCTTCAAGGGAATGTTGACAGAGAAACTCAGTAATTAAAAGTGGTTTCGGCCCCAACGATGAGACTGATAAGCCAAGTCATACAGAGCATCATTTGTTGAATGCCTCAGGATGCCCAGTCCTCAAGCAGGCACTTATATATGTGGCTTCATTTTATCCTCACAACAATCCCACATGGTAGTTACTACTAATCCCATTTCACAGATGTGACTGAGGCCCAGAGAAATTCAATAACTTGTTCCTGGTTAACTTCAAAGCCCTAAGCCTTTCACCACATCTTCGTGCATCCATTCCCTCATGCAGAGAAGACAAGGAACGTGAAGGCAGAACAGAGCCAAAGCTCTGCAAAGCTTCTGGCTGTTAAGTCAGGCCGTTGGAGTTTTCTCTGATGGGTGAATCCCCAGGATTAATACCTCTTCATAGAAACCCAGCTGCTCGGTATTTACATTAAAAGAAAAATACAGGAGGGTTTAAGACTGCCGAGAAAACAGAATTTCCAACTATTTCATGGCTCTCATTTTATCTTTTGTTTAGTTATCAAGCTTAAGTCAGACAATGAATAAGTAAGACACTAAGTATAAATTCCTTAGGTGCACCATATGGTGAAACAGACTTGAAACATAGTAGAATTCAAAGAAGATGAAGATGTGCATAGATGGGCACTGTGAAGAAATTATGGAGGTTGCAGGAATTCAAGTAGGTTGTATAGGGAAGGAGAAGTTTGAAGAGGAAAGGAAAGATCTTACTGCAAGTAAATGGCTTATGGACGCACAGAGGAAGTGACTTTGAATAGCGTGTCCCACCAACAAAAAAAAAAAAAAAAGGAGTTTGAAGAGTAACAAGAGAAGAAAGCACTGATACATGCACAAAAACACAGAGGACCGAAACCAAACCTGTGTTTAGGGACCCAGTAGCACCATGTGCCTGGATTGCTGGCAGTACTTAAGAAAGTGGTAGGAAATGTTAATGAGAAGTTGGAGAGGCAGTCGATAAGGAATTAGAAGCTACTGAAGGCTTTTGAGTAGGAAAGTATGTCCAAATTAGCGTTTAGGGAAAATTGGCCCAGCTATAAAAAACACGATAGGTAAAACGATTTGTCTCATTCAAACTATAAAATATATGTACCACGAGCCTAGTGTACTAATGTAGAAATGCAAAGGACACAGGTTCTATGCATGAAGAGATTCACCATCTAGTGAGAGCAGACCACCAATTACAAGATAGTGTAATGTGTTCATTAATTTAATTTATGACATTAGCTTGGCAAGCACTGTAAGTTTTCTCCTTGGTACATATGCCTCTCTTTGTCATTAATAATAGAATCCAATTTTGTTTGTAAGACAACATGCAAAGCCTCAGGCAATGGGTCATGCTTGGGCTAAGTCACTATTTCTCAACCTTTTTTTCATTATCATCCCCCCAAGTGCATTTTTAGACACATTTTTCCTAATTATTCCCACTCATGAAATTTTAATATCACAGATCTACTATATATGTCTGTTTGTGTATTGCATAATTGTATAAGATAATTTTCCTACTTTATATCAAAATGAATACATTTATAATTTGCCTGGTAGGTATGTCTTTCAAATATTTGAAAGTCAATTATTTCAAAATTAAATATTTAAGATGCATAAGAAAAATGAACTTCCTAAAGGATCCCTTTGGGTTATCTTATTGGTGCCTTAT